TTCTCACTCATTTTTATAATAAGGGACTGTTGCCAAAATTTTTTTTAATGGATAAAGATTATGCACAAATTAATGCGGTACGTTTTACATGGCCTTCTACAAAAATTCAATTATGTAAATGGCATGTAAAACGTGCAGTAACTAAAAGATTCTTAAGTAATAAAGCTACCAGGTCTACATATAATCCGATTTCAGAATTGGGTAGGAGATTTCCATTCAACAGAATTCAACAAACGGCACAATTTTGCCCCAAGGAATATAGAGAATTAGCTTGGCAAATTATGGAAAAACATATGCACCAACACTCTCTAATCCCAACAAATGATGAAAAATTTTTATCTAAAGAGGAAATTTACCATATGTCAGTTCAGGAGATGTACCTCTTTTGCAAAGATAGATCGTTACTTTCATTATGGTTATACTTTTGGACCGAATGGTATACAGAATCGAAGTGGGTATTGTGGGCACGTTCCTCTTGCGAAAGTATGATTTCTGTATTGAACACTACGATGTTTATTGAAGGACACTAGAAAACAATCAAACGAGACTTCTTATATAAATTTTTTCAACCGCATATGGACCTTGTTACATATATATTAATTAAAAAGGTTATCATACATCAAAGACGTAAGCTAAACCAGATTCATCTTGGTATAGAAAAACCAGATTGGATCAAGGATTTTAAGCATGAATGGAAAAGTTTATCTAAGCGGCAAATAAGCAACAATGATGCATATACAACAAATGTAGAACAATGGGTCTGTGGTTGCCCCTATTATTTAACAAATTGGTTTAATTTATGTAAACATTTGGTGCACAGGAAAGCAAACGTAACAGCAGAATTTTTCATTAATATAAAAAGAAGTTGTCAACCTCCTTTTTTAATCAGTATGAACTCAAAAGAAAACAAATTCGTTGAGCAAATTGAGAGCAACAAGTTCACTAGTGAATTGATTGAGTTAGTTGAAGATAATGAAGAGTCACTTGAAAATTATAACGTAATGTTTGATAATTTGATTGAAAAAACCAAAAAGGCGCTTGTAATTTTAGAAGATCAAAAATCAGCCGGCAACACAAAATGGATTAAAGCAGCAAAA